GTATGGGTATACTGGGCCAAGTGTGGAAGTCACATAGACTAGTCCATACCAAACTGAGATTATATACTTCACTGGTAAGACCCGTTTTGGTATACGGAAGTGAATCTTGGTATGATAATGACACTTTATCCAGAAGATTCCGAACATCTGAGAGTAAGGCATTGACAAGAATCTTGAACATAACATAGCGTGATCGTATTAGAATCGAGACGATAAGAGAAGTCACAAATGTTCCCAATATTAATGAATGGCTGATGAAGAACAGAAGGAGGTGGCTGGCACAGTTCTGCGTGTGCGTCCGGATAGAGTATAGAGAGGCAGTCGAGTGGAGAGTGGACGGAACGAGAAGAAGAGGAAGACCAAGGCCTATGTGGATCCCAACTATAAGAAGGGAGATGGGTGACGAGGTAACATAACCATGGAAAGGGCTCAACGAAATGGCTGGCGCTCGAGTATGTGGAGGTTTGTGTTTAATGGCGGTAACGAGGTAAACAGGTGTTAATAATAATAATTAATAATGGTTTACTGAAAGAGCATAGCAGCTGGTTGAAAATATACAGACATAATTGGGGAATGGGTATCTTGATTTACAAATAATATACAAGTAACATAAGTGACACAAATATGATATATAATAACTAGGGGAGAAGGTCATACTAAGGACATTTTAAATATAGTGACAGTGCAAAAAGTAGGATTTACTGGGGAGGAACACACTGGTTGATTACTGTCATGGGTTGCGTTTGGCTTACCCACGCAACCAACTCCAAAGTTTGTTTACTACTGTAGAGATAAGGCACCTGGCCATAACTGCTAACATATTTTACATTAGTGGTATGTTATTGGCCCGTTAGGGAGCCAGTGGGACAGTGTTGTAATGTTCAGTGCCTCACGCCCCAAAACCCTCATTTTAAGTAGTATCCCTTGGCCATGGGTTAGTTAAGACGTCGTCCTGCCTCCTCCTGAAGGGCGCGGACACCACACAGAGTCTCCACCGCCACCCCAGACTAAGTGTGTTAACCTTGTTGTTATCCCCTGTGAAATATTTGTAGCCTGGTTGCTGACAAAGCAATCCAGGCTGGCAGTAAATGTATCACTTGAAGAATTAAGGCTCTGTTAAGTCATACCCATAGTAGAGTAATTACATGTGTCCCAAGTTGAAAATTTCTTTAGAAGATTAATTTTATTACAGCGTGAACGTGAGTGCCTCGTATACCCACATAAATTGTAAATCATTGTATGGAAGCTTGACAAATAAAAAGTGGACAATTATCTGCCGTATGATAGATCTTATATTATTATTAATAAGGTACGACTGATTGGTTAGACAAAGTATAACCAATAACTTAGATGGATGTTGGAATTAATGAATTCATTAAATCGTCCTTTATCAAGTATCAAATCATGGAATGTCGAGTGGTGGAGTGAAATTCGACGATACACCATAATCTCCTGTGCAACCAGTGAAGGTATCGAACTCTACGGTAAGAAAAAATAAGAAACACAACATATTATAATCTTTATATAATTAATCCACTTTACACCACTTTCGATAGCAAAACCATGACAATTACAAGTTATTGATAATTTTTACAATGGTTGGGACTGGGCTGTTCTTATAGCGATCCGTTCGTGTTCTTATGGGCTGGATGCGGTTGTGGTGTCGAACAGCAATTCTCGGGGCGAGGGATCTCAGGTGGTGGTAGGATGTCGAGGATGGTGCAGAAGCTTCTCACCAAATTTGCAGATGAGGTCGTGGTAATGGTCAGTGAGAGTCGAGAGGGTCAGTGTTGTGAGCGCTTCTTGATATGTGGAGTAGGGGAGAGAATAATCTTGTATGCCCCTTTTAATTTTCTAGGTGTTTATGTTGGGTGGCATTTAGAGGAAGACCAGTAGGGGAGGCATAGGTGAGCTTGGGAAGTATGAATGTTGAGTAAACACTGAGGAGCTGGGGCAGGAACTCCGAGGACTGGAGTCGGCGGAGGAGGTGAGACGGAAATTGGAGCATTTGACAACTTCACTGATGTGCGGTTTCCAATTTAACTTGTTGTCTATGGTGACGCCGAGGAGCTTGTGAATCTACAACCTGGAGTGTGTTGGGACCTAGAGTAATGGAAGGGGTGGGACAATGTCGGAGGAGAGGTTGATGTGCATAACTATGGTCTTGGTATGGTTGATGGCGACGTGGTTGTTGGAGGCCCAGTTTTCGAGACTTCAATAAATCCTGGATGGCGGTATAGTCGGGAGCAGAATTGTTGACGCTGATCCCAATGGTGGAGTCGTCGATATATTTCCAGCGAGCAGAGGTTTCTTAGGTCATCATTGATAAGGATATGAAGCATAGTGGTCACATCTTGGGACCTTGGGGACGCCAGAGGTGAGTGACTGAAAGGTGGAGACATCCCCACGGCAGCGTACGGCTTGGAGTCGGTTACTGAGGAAGTCTAAGCTATGGTATAAGACTTCCTCGAAACCGAGGTCGATAGCTTTGTTGATAATTAAATTGTGGTCGACAAGGTCGAATACGTTATAGTTAATGAAGGCGACAGCTACGGACGTGTGTGTGTGTGTGTGTGTACTCTTTATATTTCTAATCTCTCTCTCCCATATAAGAGTATTGTAAACACTCACGGCCCCGATAAGATCATTGGCCTTGTGACGTCACTCTGTCAACACGTTCAAACACGTCCGTCGAAATGTTTGTCCGACACAAGTGGCTTCACTCTCAGCCAATCACAGTGTCGCTTTCACCTGTTACGTCATTGATATCTTTGCTCTGTCCAATCATTGTGTGCCTTCAGATATTACGTCATAGATATCTCTGGTTCATCCAATCACTGTGTGCCCTCAGTTATTACGTCGTAGATATTTCTGCATCATCCAATCGCCAGGGCTCCAGTTATTACGTCATAGATAGCTCTGCCTCATCCAATCACTATGTACCCAGTTATTGCATCATAGATATCATTGCCTCATCCAATCACGCCTTCAGTTATTACGTCATGTATCTTCGCCCCATGCAATCACTGTGCCTCCAGTTATTACGTCATAGATATTTTTGCCTCATCCAATCACTGTGTACCCAGTTATTATGTCATGTATCCTGCTTAGCCAATTACGTAGAACCTTGGTTATTACGTCATAAATATGTTCTTAGTTAATTACATTATTCATTTACTTGTTTCAACCAATCACAAGTTAGCCTTGTTGTTACATCATAAAGTATAATGAATCTAGTTCAGACCTATTAAAGTATTTAATATTACTTCATAGATCTAACAACCAATCACTAAGTTTATTAACCACGACGTCATTGGTGTGTGTGTGTCAGGAATCATCTGGGAGGCCCAAACACGTGTACATGACGGTGACGGGGTGAGACAGGTAGATGGTTGTGTTGGTGACGGTGACGGGGTGAGACAGGTAGATGGTTGTTAGGTGACGGTGACGGGTGAGACAGGTAGATGTGTTAGGTGACGGTGACGGGGTGAGACAGGTAGATGGTTGTGTTAGGGGTGACGGGGTGGAGAGATAGGTAGATGGTTGTGTTAGGTGACGGTGACGGAAGGAGACAGGTAGATGGTTGTGTTAGGTGACGGTGACGGGTGAGACAGGTAGATGGTTAGAGGTGACGGTGACGGAAGGAGACAGGTAGATGGTTGTTAGGTGACGGTGACGGGGTGAGACAGGTAGATGGTTGTGTTAGGTGACGGTGACGGGGGTGAGACAGATGGTTGTGTTAGGTGACGGTGACGGGGTGAGACAGGTAGATGGTTGTGTTAGGGTGATGGTGACGTGAGACAGGTAGATGGTTTGTAAGGTGACGGTGACGTAAGAGACAGGTGGCAGATTGTTTTAGGTGACGGTGACGGGATGAGACAGGTAGATGGTTGTGTTAGGTGACGGTGACGGAGGAGACAGGTAGATGGTTGTGTTAGGTGACGGTGACGGGGAGACAGGTAGATGGTTGTGTTAGGTGACGGTGACGGGGTGAGACAGGTAGATGTTGGGGGGTGACGGGACAGGTAGATGGTTGTGTTAGGTGACGGTGACGAGGTGAGACAGGTAGATGGTTGTGTTAGGTGACGGTGACGGGGTGAGACAGGTAGATGGTTGTGTTAGGGTGACGTGACGGGGTGAGACAGGTAGATGGTTGTGACGGTGACGGTGACGGGTGAGACAGGTAGATGGTTGTGTTAGGTGACGGTGACGGGGTGGAGACAGGTAGATGGTTGTGTTAGGTGACGGTGACGGGTGAGACAGGTAGATGGTTGTGCAGGGTGACGGTGACGGATGAGACAGGTAGATGGTTGTGTTAGGATGCAGACGGGAGTGAGACAGGTAGATGGTTGTTAGGGGTGACGTGACGGGGTGAGACAGGTAGATGGTTGTGTTAGGTGACGGTGACGGAGTGAGACAGGTAGATGGTTGTGTTAGGGTGACGGTGACGGAGGAGACAGGTAGATGGTTGTGTTAGGGTGACGGTACGGAGTAGACAGGATGGTTGTAAGTGACGGTGACGGAGGAGACAGGTAGATGGTTGTGTTAGGTGACGTGACGGGGAGACGGGGAGACAGGTAGATGGTTGTGTTAGGTGACGGTGACGGGGTGAGACAGGTAGATGGTTGGGTAGGGGGTGACGGAGTGAGACAGGTGGATGGTTGTGTGGTGAGGTGACGGGTGGAGACAGGTAGATGGTTGGGGGAGATGGTTGTGTTAGGTGACGGTGACGGGGGTGTTGGTGACGAGGTGAGACAGGTAGATGGTTGTGTTAGGTGACGGTGACGGGTGGGACAGGAGATGGTTGTGTTGGGTGACGGAGGGGAAGGTAGATGGTTGTGTTGGGTGACGGTGACGGGGGGTGGTTAGGACGGTGACGGGGTGACAGGTAGATGGTTGTGTTAGGGTGACGGTGACGGGTGAGACAGAGAGATGGTTGTGTTGGTGACGGTGACGGGGAGAGGGGGTGGGTGACGGAGACAGTAGATGGTTGTGTTGGG